TCTCTCTCTCTCTCTCTCCTGAAGGACGTAGGGGTTCTTTTTAGTATGCAGCACCCCCTTCAGACCGGAGGACGACTGCCACACATCTCTTGCACCCGCACAACTCACTAAGCTAAGCATCACATACAGTGGAGGCACTTTCCGCAACATTATTAAAAAATTATTCACAGACAGACAAACTTTTATCATTTCTCTTGATTCAAGCTTTGAGTGACGTTGGTCCCGGAAACCAACTTATAAAGACTCTCATATCCGCAGACACTCTTTCACGGCTGTCAGCACCTGTATAGCATTCCTTAGTTTAAGCTGCAGGTAATGTTTGCAGCAGAAGCTCTGTGACAATCAAAATACAGTAGAAACACAATAGATATCAGTGGGAGGCCCTTTGTCAAACTCTTTGTTTGACAAAAGATAAAATTAATCTCGGTCTCTTTGGTTTCAGGTGTTGATGTTTATTCATCCAGTTATTAATCTACTGTTGTATGTTCAAATAGTTCTGTGTTTCTCTGCGTCTCTGTCCTCCAAACCCAGCTGGTCGAGGCAGATGGCTGCCTGTCCTGAGCCTGGTTCTGGTTCTGGTTCTGCTGGAGGTTTCTTCCTGTTCAAAGAAAGTTTTTCCTCTCCGCCGTCACCATTGTGCTGCTCAGGATGGGAGACTGGGATGGAATGATTCATCACGATCTGCTGCTTCTTGAGATTGATTGTTTTGTGTGCAGTGCCCTGAGATGTTTGTGGTGACTTGGCGCTGTGTAAATAAACTGAATTCTATTGAATTACTGATTTTTACAAGTATTTGTAACTAGTGGGTTTATGCTTAATTAAAGCTCTTTTGATAGTATGATGGTGTGTGGGAGAGTGAGTGAGTCTTAAAGGCCCACATCATCAGTTCCCAGGCTCTGCTTCTAAAAACACAACATGACAGCTTCTGTAAATGACTTCCTGCTGGCTTCATGAGCCAACATCAGAGAACACAGGAACCCTTGGTCTGCTATCATCTCTGTGTTTTTATCTTGTCTTTGTTTTTAACGCTTTGAGCACTTTTATTCTCTGCGCTGCTTCACTTAAACTCAACTTATGAGGCTCACGTGGGTTCTTTATCCATCCCCACTGTCTATATATCTATGGGCTGCCGTTTGTAAAGTTACACAGTCAAAAATTACCAATGTTTTTGTTTTGTTTAGCCTTTTCAAAGTCAGTTTTTCACCATATAATTCATACATTTATAAAGGTCATAATTTGTAAATTAAATATTTTACATACAAATTAAATATTTAGTTAACAAGCTAAATATTTAACTTATGACTTAAATATTTAGCAAGCTACTGAAATATTTAAGTTGCAACTTAAATTAGCAAGTTGGCTTGATAAATATTTAAGTTGCAACCTAAATATTTCGGTAGCTAGCTAAATATTTAACTTAAATATTTAGGTGGCTAGCTTTGCTAAATATTTAAGTTGCAACCTAAATATTTAGGTAGCGAGCTAAATATTTAACTTAAATATTTAGCTAGCAAGTTAAGTATTTAGCTAGCCACCTAAATATTTAAGTTAAATATTTAGCTAGCTACTGAAATATTTAAGTTGCAACCTAAATATTTAGGTAGCTAGCTAAATATTTAAGTTTCAAGCTAAACATTTAGCTCAAAACTAAATATTTAAGTCACAAGTTAAATATTTAGCTTGTTAACTAAATATTTAATTTGTAAGTTAAATATTTAGTTTATAAACTATGACATTTATAAATGTATGAATCATAATATGGTGAAAAACTGACTG